CTCATTCTGATTTTTAAGGCACCTATACTATAGGTATCTTGTGATGTCGGGGTGGAAAGCTGCCAGGCCAAACCGGCATATTGGAGCCGCATTCCCCTTCAACGCTTAATCACTTCATGGACCCTTTAAGCGAACTTCTATACGCGCCCATATTTGACGCCTCTGCACAACTTCAAACCCTAACGCTTACCTCGATGTCCCACTTCTGTCGCTCATACTCTATTTTCGACTAGCTGCTTCTGACGACGTCGGTCGCTACGGCGGAGACTCTGACTTGAAGGGTGGATGTTCGGGAATGCAAATCTGCTTGGGCCTTGGTGTGCTGCTCCGGTTTGTATGGTCGAATTTAGGGGGCTTCGCTTTGTCTATGGAGTATTGCGACGATGATAACGTTCAGAGACGGGGGTTTCTGAAATGCCGAGCATGCTTTCCAAAAGCTCAACACGGCAGGTCCCTGATGAACGACTCCGAACTCGTCAACATCGTTGTTGCAAAAGAATTCTGACCATCAGGGCCCCTAGCAAGAGGCCGCTATTACAGCCTCAAAATTAAAGCCCGAACACATAGAAGTCTATGCGGCGGCAGTGGCGTTGGCTGCATCGAGGTGCGACGCTCATCCAGCAGCTCTGGCGTGGGCGGAGCAAGACCAAGGCCAAATCAAAACTGCTGTGTGTGGACACAATCAATATGAAAACAAATATGTGTCTATATATATATATATATACAGATAGATAGATAGATATATATATATACCCACACACATAGGCATAGATATACGCATGCATGCATACACACATACACACATACATACATACATACATACGTACGTACGTACGTGCGTACGTACGTACATACATACATACATACATACATACATGCATACAGAGCTACTTACATATATATATATATAACATACTTACATATATAACATACATGCATTATATTACATAAACACATACATACATACATGCATGCATACATACATACATACATACATACATACTTTGACATACATACATACATGCAAACATACATACTTACATACATACATACATACATACATACATGCATACATACATACAGACTTACTTACTTACATACATACATGCATGCATACAGTGCATATTGCATACATACAGATACACACACACACAGATATATATATATATACACACACACACACACCTGCATAGTCCTGCAATTGTGATCAATAGGCCATAGTCCTGAATGTCTGTGCAAGATAGAGGCGTGCACACCCATCTTGTTGCGTAACATGCATGCCTTCAGCTTGTTCGGTGGAAAGCGAGTGCATGCAATGCACATGTATGTGACATTCGCTCCGCTACCCCCTCCCCGCACTCAGAGGGCTACGATTCTTTCAGAAGCCTTGTTCAATAGTCGTAGGTGCGAGCCGGCTAAGCCTTAAACCCTAACCCCTAAACCCTAAACCCTAGACCCCAAACTCAAACTGCAGCTCTGAGAAACATGTTCTCGCTGTGGAACAACCTCTGCACCTCAGCTTGAAGAGCTTGAGCCCTAAAGCCCCAAAACAGAGGACTCTATGACCTACGGGTGATGATGCAAATCCTGCATCACCTTAAGGACCCTAACCCTAAACTATGGGAATTGTGGTAAATCCTCATTATGGGTAATGCAGGATTTATATCATCAAGCGTAGTAGCCCTACAGAATCCATGACAGAACCTCATGGTTGAAGCCTTATGAGGCCCCGATAGAACCCTGTAGACCCCTAATGCTAAGCTCAGATTTCGTCTGGTGAGGTCCTCGTGCTTCAGCTCAGGAAAAGGCTGCGTGAGAAGAAGGATCGCGGGTTGGGGGTTTAAGGGTTTAGGGTTGAGGGTACAAGGTTAGGGGTACAGGGATTATGGGGGTTTAGGGGTTTAGGGCTTAAAAGGGGTTTATGGGGTTTAGGGGTTTGGGGCTTAAAGGGGTTTAGGGGTTTAGGGTTTTAGGGTTGAGGGTATAGGGTTTATCGGGTTTAGGAATCTAGGGCCTTGTGTTTTGCGGTTTGGGGTTTAGGGGGTGTGGCCTGTGTGGTTTAGTTGTTTCAGGGTTCTTGGTCTATGTTCCTATAAGGTCTTTCGGCTTAGAGGCTGCAATCAAGAATTCATTCGGGGTCCCATGCAGGTTCCTGGATTTGGAGGTGAGGGGGTTTAGGGTTGTTGGTTTGGAGCTTGAGTCTTGAGTTATGGGTCCGGGCCCCGAGGACAGAGTGCACCTCATGTTGCAGGAAGGAGAGCATGAACTGGAGTCGACCCTCGAAATCTTTGCGAGCTCAGGGGTTTGGTGCTCCATTCCAAACTAAACCCTAAACACTAAACACTAAACCCTAAACCCTAAACCCTAAATCCTAAACCCTAAACACTAAACCCTAAACCCGAAACCCTGAATCTTCAGATCTTAACCCACCGAACCGGGACCCGAAGCCTCGAAACGGAGCATTTGACCCAGGCGTTCCATCCATAAGACCAGGGTACCGTTGGACAGTGTCACAAGGAGCCCAGTAGGGTCCAAGTGTGGGCCCAAAACTCGACACCTCTGAGCCCTAAGCCGTAAACCCTAAACCCTATAACCGAACTTGGGGCTTTGATTTCCTGCCACTGCCAAGCCAGGTGAATCAGGAGACGGCAGCCAACGAACGGCAGCTCGGGCGGCTTCGCAAGGCTTTGGGTACAGGGTTTAGGGTTTGGGGTTTAGGGTTCAGGGTTGAGGGTTTAGGGTTCAGGGTTTAGGTTCAGGCTTCGCTGTGGGTCTGGAATTCAGGGCTTGGAGCTCGACCTTGAAACACCGGGGGAGGCTTTGGAGATCGAAGTGTGGAGTTCAGGATGCAAAGCTGTTATGCTTGAATGCTTGAGTCGTCTGTGGTCTTCTTCAATGTGGCGAAGCCTCATCTATGGATATATATGTGTGTGTTTATGTATGTATGTATGTATGTATTTATTTATTTATTTATTTATGTATGTATATATATATATATGTATAAATACATACATGCACACATATATATATATGTATATATATATATATACATATATATATATACACACACACATACACACATGCATGCATGCATGCATGCATGCATGCATGCATGCATGCATGCATGCATGCATACATACATACATATTTACATAGATAGATAGCTAGATAGATCGATAGATAGATATAGATAGATAGATAGATAGATAGATAGATATACACATATGCACACCTAATTTGGAACACTTCCCTAAGCCAACGTAGCAGGCCTCAGATCTTCCAAAGTACCGGCATGAAACTAATTTACGGTTTGGATGCGCCGACTCCCACCACACACATGCGCAAACGCGCCGACGGTCCTACTTTGGGCCCCTAATAAAGCCTATTGCGGGTCTCTAGATGTTCTCCAGGATTAAACCCTAAACCCCTACTCTTGAAGTATGGGAAGAAGCCCAGCTTAGGGCGGACGCATGGCCTTTGGTTCCGTTCAGTGTTCAGGGATAGACTAGAGGTCGAAGTCAAGGCCAGGGGACATGGTACAGACTTCCTGTGTGGGATCGTAGTAATATATCAACCAATATTATTTTCCCAAGATTTTTTTGCCGACAACCACATCGCCCTCTGACCCCGCTCGAACTTGAAACATAGTCGAATCGCGAACCAATTCGGGAACCCTGTTTCCGGCTGACGCCATAGCACGCTCTAAAATAAAATCTTCGGCCCTGAAAAACCCTTGCTAGAACCACAGCCATGAGCCCCTAAACTCTAAACCTTATAGGGCCCTTTTTGAAACCCTTCCGCACCATAAAAAGCTCTTCTAAACCCAAAACCCTAGAACCCCATAACTCCAAACCGTATATAGGCTCTTCTTGAAACAGACACCCCTAAACCCTAAACCCCTAAGCCCAAAACCCCGAAACCCTAAACCCTAAGCCCTAAACCCCGAAGACCCTAAACCCTAAGCCCTAAACCCCCGAAGAGCCCTAAACCCCGAAACAAGCCCTAAACCTTTTAAGAAAAAACCCCAAAGCTTTTAAGAAAAAACCTTTAACCGTTTAAGAAAAAACCCTAAACCGTTTTAAAGACTGCTGGCGAGGCAGAAGCTGCCAGGCATGCGCGGAAGGACTTAGCAGCGGCAGCTCTGGCCACTGCTTTGGGGTCTTGGGAGAGGGATTAGGGTTTAGGGGTTTAGGGTTTTAGGGGTTTAGGGTTTTAGGGGTTTAGGGTTTTAGGGGTTTAGGGGTTTAGGGGTTTAGGGTTTAGGGTTTTAGGGTTTAGGTCTTCGCAGACGGCAGGGTTTAGGGGTGCATTGTAAAGTCTGCAAAGGGTTTCTTTATGGTGTTTTCCGTTTCAAGCTTTCGGCGGCTTCGTTTTTTTTTTTTTTGAGGGGTTTTGGGCTTTGCAGTTTTAGATGCTTTTGGCCTACGGTCTGGGGTTGAATTCCGATGTCACAATCCGCAAGTAGCTCGGAACTCTCGCAGGCTATCTTGCTGCCATGAACGGTGTTGATTTGCAGACCATGCGTAGTCACGGCTTAGTCTTGTTTGCGCGCTTCATTGGTGTAAGGAGCTCGGAGGTTTAGGGCTTGGGGTTTCTAGGGTTCTGAGGGTTTGGGGCTTTGGGAGACCTGCGTCGGGTGCTATGGGTTCAAGCTATCGCGGATAGGGTTCTTGAAAGAGGGGAATGAACGGCGGCTAAGAGAATGGAAATTGTGCTTATACTTGGATAACGAGCACGTACTTTCGAGCCGGGATGAACCACAAAACTGCGTTCGGGTGTTCATAAAGTGCAGTCAGAGCGCGTCATCCTAGGCCTGAAAGCCTCCACCGTGATTCCGAGAAGCGAGACCCTTCGACCAGAAATCCAAACACAAGCCTCTGAGCCCTACTGCCCCGGGACCCTTCGATTCTTGCAGCGGCTGGCGGCAAGCAGCTCTTTTCAAGTCTTCTGCTGTTGTTTGGCCCCGCAGGGATTTTAAGGTCGCACACCTGCCGGAATGCATGGCCCTGACTTGGGCGCGGGCTGCTGCCGGCCTGGGCTCACTGAGTTCGTTGCCTTGTGCAGCAGGGGGCCTCGTGCGGTTCTTGTGCGATGAGCAGTGGAGTTGCTTCACCAGTTCAGAAGACAAGGAAGACTGCTTCCGAGGGAGGTCGGAAAGTTCATGTTGCCGAGCCACGGAGCTGATAGAGCGAATGATGGAGGTGGACATGGAGGGAGACAAGTTCGTTGATCCGGATCACATGCGAGATGTCTGCTTGCAGTTGCTACAGTTTCCAAGGGCCTCTGATGAGGTGGAGGCACAGCTGACAAGGTGCTCACGTGGTTTCATTGGAAATGCAATGCTGTCGGGCGTCGTACTTTCCCTCGCAGAGCCTAGTAACAACCGAACATGCTCGGAAGCCTGGATGCGCGCCAGATATCCAATCCATCCGGTGCAAGAGAAGTCTGACTACGATTATGGGTGGTACCGAAACTGGGAAGTGTACCATAATGGGTTCCCCATTCTTCCCTACTACATTTCCCCACTATGGTAACAGAAACTAAAGTCCTAAACCCTAAACCCGAAATCCAGGAATGGAGCCATGGGCTTCCACTTATGCGAAGCACTTCCGGGCACCCGTTTCTTCGATGCTGCAGTCGCTTGCGGAGCACACGGCTCTCTGCAGAGGCCTTGGCCACACTTGCGCGGTCTTCAATCCCTGGGAGCCGAGAGTTTGTCCCTTGACGCCAGAGAGAGAGAGAGAGAGAGA